GATCGCTACAGGTCGCCTAGAACAGAGATGATAACACCACTGCTAACCTAGACCAACAACAACTACCCTGTACAACTACAAGCAGGTACCGCTTCAGCCGCCGAAAATAGGAAACTGAACACTTGGAGGAAATCGGGCTTCAAGTTGACTTGCTACTACTAATAACCACAGGGATCAAGACGACAAACGACAAGCAGGCCGAAAAGAACAAGACAAGAACTGCAAGGGCTTGGCGAGATCAAGGCAAATACTGGTGTAATGTATGTATCTTTAGCTTAGAGCCCTCTGGGCAGTGGCCTACCGGGCGTAATAGACTTCTGTGTATTAAGTAGAAATTACTAAGAAATGAGCTGGCAACCCCTCAGAATCTAGCCCTCCTTTGCCATGGCCAACGCTTGTGCGGCCCTTGCAGAATATTTGCATCGCTGTCGAATAGCAGGACCATATTTGAAAAAGATAAAAGGCATTGGTAGACAGGCCAGTGACAGAAATGCTGGTACAGAACTGGCCCACTGAGTTCCCAGATTGTCGTACATCTGCTTGGTGAAAAGTGGAAAGGCGGCACCGAAAAGGGATCGCAACACGGCATTTGATGCTAAAACCGATGCAGCGTAGATGGTGTATGAATCGATGAGGTAGCTGAAGATGCTTTGGAAGACGAGAGACATGCCGAGACCGAAGGGGACACCAGCGGCTACTGGGGACATCCAATGGACTGAACGATATGATGTCCTATCAACTGTTAGTGGAGGTGTTGACTATAACAAGACCTGATCTTACCATGCGAACCAGAACATGCCAACAGGGACACAGATACCGCCGAGCATACATCCCGGGAGACGATATTCAGGAGGTACAGGTTCGTTGCTGAACCTTTTCGTGACTTTCATATACCATATGTTGATGAGTCCAATCGTAGGAATGGCACTCACCATTCCGACAGCAACTCCCAGGAAGGCCAGACCTCCCTTACCAGCAGACCAGCCCCTCTCAAGCTGGAAGACGACAGGATATGCGCCAAACAGCATGTAAAGGGTTCCGAAAAGAATAGCTACGTAGACGGAGAGAAGCAGAACAATAGGTTCGAAGCATAGGAGTTGCCAAGGACGAATGAGAGCCTTCTTGAGAATGACGGATGGCGGATCGGCCTTGCCTTGGTGTTGGTAGATGGAGATGTAAACCTTGCCAGTTTTCTTGGACAAAAAATCGGCTCGGTTCTGAAGGATGTAAGGTGCATAGGTTTCGGGAGCACAGCACATGTCGAGTACCCAGAGGAATCCGGCAACAATAGCCATCAATCCCATAACCTGGAGACTCTGGTTAGTGTATGATCTCCGAACCAAGGACTTAGGTGACCTACCCATCTCCAACCTTGACCGTCACTTAAGTAGCCACCAATGAAGGGACCCAAGCTAGGACCTAGTGCGGGTGCCAAAGAGAAGAATGCCAGAGCGATAGCGCGCTCGTCAGCATTAAAGATATCAGAGATGACACCTCCACCATTGGTCAGAGGTGCTGAACCAAAGGTTCCGCAGAAGAAGCGAAGGACCAGAAGAGTAGCGATACCATTGTCTGCAGTGCATGCTGCACTAAACACGACGTACAAGCCGTAGCTAATAACGAAGATAATTTGTCGACCATAGATTTCGCAAAGTGGTGCCCAGAGGAGAGGTCCGACTGCAAAACCTAGAACGTAGAGGGAGACACCAGCTGTGACGAGTGTATGGCTTGCTTTGAAATGGATCATGAGCGGCACGATAGTACCTGTCATATTACATGTCAGCTGCATGGATTGTCGAGGATCATAATACTGACCTGTATAGGCACTAGAACTAAACCCGACAGCAAAACATGTTGCGGCTGAAACCATTGTGATGGTCCATTTCAACCACTTGGGCCAATTGAGCGGATTACCTGTATCATCAGGAATCCAGTTAACAACGAAGGGATCTTCAAAGGAGCCTGATCCATGATAATTATGGTTCTCAACAGCCTGGTTGACTCTTGTTCTGTCAAAAAGAAGTTTCACCAACGAGCTATGTCGCGGTTTGGACTCTGGTGTCTTTTGTCGTAGTGTTTCATCGTCGCTCACACAAGAGCTTGGCAAATCTGGTCTAGAAGACATGATGTTGTGAACCTGCAATGATTGCTCACACTATTCCTCAAAAGGAATTCCAAGACGGGAGGACGAGCCCTTTATAATAATATGGCGAGATCAGGGTTCCATTTCGTCGGGAGCGCCGGTCAGCGGGCCTCGAAGCCGGGGTAAGCAACAGATGATTTCTACTGTGACAACGGAGTCACAGGACGGATTTGGGAGTGGCAAGATCCAGATTTGGGCATAAAGGGGCCTAATACCTTTCGGTCTTGCAGGTATCAAGGAATGTAATTAGATCTTGATGACGGAGTCTGCATAATCTCGTCCAATATTCTCGGAGGGGTCTGGAAATCGCAATCTGGCAGCGCCGACATTCTCGATAATCCTTCTCTGGATCCACTGAGACGGGGTTTTAAACTGTCCGACGGAGTTTGTAAGGGGGGGGGGGGTGGAGACGAGAAAAGCCGAGTCGCATCAGCCCACTATTTGCCGTGCGTTCCCTACCGAAACTCCGGCCGGGTTTGATCGTGAACAGAATTGGGTCTACTCATGTGCTGGCAAGGCTGATCACATGCTACTGGGCTGAAGAGTAAAGAGTGATTATAAATATTGAGACATGATACTTCACGTGATTTCGGTATGAGTTTGTCTATTCTTTGTCTTTGTGACAAATGCCAAGACCGACCTCTTAAAACACCATTGTGAATAGTTTTACGCTAGTCTGAGTCGCTGCTCATCAAGGTTCCCAACCAAGAGGTGTCCACTGAAAGCGCCCAAATCGATAATCTGTAACTGAGCCACCAACGTCGCAAAAGTCTCTGTTTTATCTCGCAACTAGATTCAAGACTGGCAGAATATTATTATGGGACGGACAGAGCTATCTGTCGGCCGACCACCAGCTGCTTTTCGCAAGGATGCATGCTCCAAAAAAGCTAAAGCCACTATCAACAAGGGCGTTCCTAGTCCCCCCTCCCTGGATATCCCGGTGCTCAGAAAGGAATCAATTCAGCAGAGCTCATACCTTTTGTGAACAATTCAGTCTTACCTGGAATATATGATAAGCTCTTGAAGAGACAAGGACAAGGGTGATACAGAAACGAAGGCCAGATTACAGATAGATCTGAAGATCTCCATGAAGAGTTGTCAAGGCTTAAAACACCCAGAATCTCGATCAGGGAAGTCAACACGTTGACGGCTGCGAGGGATCTTCTTGATATTGAGACACCAGCAGGCGTCAAAGCAGATCTCGGTACTACAAGAGCTCGCGTGACAATTTTGAACATGGGTTCGCCTCTGGGCTTGGGAGGTGGATTTCTAAATTGTGCAAACAGCCAAGAGGAATCATTATCTATGCGCAATACGCTATACCCTTCTCTCAGTGATCTAAGGGCTCATCATGGCTTTCCTGCCTTTGGGTGTGTAAAGCTCCCTGATCTATCTGTGCAAGACAATTCTAGGCTGGAGAGGGATAAGTTTCCGCTGATGGGATACCCTCTTGGAAGCAATGCGCCTTTGTGCCGATAATGTGCTGGATGAACTAGATGGAATAGCAGTTGAATGGCGACTTTCCTTGGATTATCTACTCTGACGTCCAAGGCGATGTGCTTGAAACTACCGTAGGGCTGGCTGCGAGTAGGGCAGGTGCCACTTGGGGGAAAGGGCGTCCGGCGCTCTCCATTGATGCAAGTGGACATTGTGGGTGTTCAAGGTGGACTCGGATGCGATAGCAGTTGTAGCAAGTTTAGCTCAGCACGTCCTATGCCACAGTAGGCGGGTTTTGGGGCCTATGGCCCCCGGACGAAAAATATACATAACATAACATAAGATGCGACTTGTATGACGAAGGAAGACAAACAGAGTCGAACCGGCTCAGTTCGACTCGCATACACCTCAGTATATACACATTCCTTTAGTAGGAAATAGGACTTGGCTGACCAGCTAAAAATAAAACATCTTTACATCAATAAGCCTAGCACGCATTACTTGATCATTAAGAGACTTGACACTTCGCAACGCTCAGCATCACGCTCTACGCAGCCTGCAAACATAAACTTGGTACGGACTACTTTACTTATTTGTAAACCCAACCGTCACAGCAGAGCACTAAGAAAATATAATATGAATATCGCAAATATCACAACATTAAACTCAGACATGCTAACCACTTCCGATATGCAGGAATTTCACAGTGTAAATCTGCAGTCATCGGAGCAAGTCCAGCAGAGGCGATAACAGAAGGCCAAACAGCGGCGGATGTTAAGGGCCAACTAATAGAATTAGTGCAGAGCATTGAACTTAATTGCAATTGAACGTTGCTCTCTGATTGATAACTTCTGGATCGTGGTAAGTTATGCCCAAGAGGTGTGAGTGTCCTCACAGCCGAAACAACCGCACCGCATGCAGGCCCTGTGCCGTCCATTGCAAACGTAGTTCATTCGGCTCGTAACACACACACCTGCTTAGTGAAGCTCAGCTCAGTCAGAGTTAAAGTGAGGTGACTGGTGACGGCCGGACTTTTTGCCATGACCCTGATAAATACCGGATTGGGTCTGACTTTGTGCAAAATGCTCGCTATTGCTACGGTATTGAGCACTTGCACCTTCCGCTCTGAAACAATACACTCTTCTCTTTGTAAAGTTTATTACATTAATGTACTTATCAAGCCGAATTTGGTAAGAAATAGGCTAACCCATGGGTGCGTAAACAATTTCGGATGTGGGAAACAAACTGATAGTCCGAGCCATGAGTACCATAACTCACATCGATAAGGCAAGTACATTCTCAAGCTCATTTCTGGTATGTAAATGAGTATGCACCGTGCCTATCGCTATTTATTCTGGAGACATTCGATCTGACGGTGGCTGTCAAGTTCTCAGTGATACATACCATCTCCAGCAATTCATGTTCCCTCACATGGTACGCAACAGGGCAAAGAACGCAGGAAGAGTAGTCGTGCAGATCACAAATGGACCACCTAATTCAATGTGTGAAGTCCTTTGTTCATGTGGTATGTGAGGAGACCAAAATTTGGGTCAACTCCCATCAAGATGTCTCCATTAATGACACAACTTCCTGCCCAAGAACCGCAATGCTAAAGCAGGGATTATGGCAGCTCAGGAACTCGGACTGAACAGAGTTGGCAGATAAATTTCCTAAAGTAATCCAAAGAAGGAAACTCTGCTACCTAATGGCTTTGCTGGCTTGTTACTGATTTCATATAAGTGTCTCTATTTTTTGCCTCTTTATCATAAGGCCGATCCTCTAGTAGCTTAGCTGCCCGAACTTGAAGGTCTTGTGGGAGAAGTGCGATGTCATAACACTAATGTATTAGGTCTTTTGCTAAAGTTAAAGCATCCGAGGCAAGCTTCATACCATACTGATCCCCAATCCAATTCAGTCTTGGTCGGCAATCTTGAATTTGTTGATGGGTGCTTTGTGAGCTGACAATGACAACAGCAAGTGGCCAGATCAGGCGACAAATAACGATAGCCTGTTGCTGCGATGTGGGGAGTCGAGCACCTCTTTGATCAACCTCGCCCATCAGATACGGCAAAGCCTTGAAAATAGAAGCAACTAGTTTTTTTAATTGTGCTCCTGCTAACGGCATTGACGTTTCAGCTAAACGCGTCTCCAACGTTGGTCGCTTGTTGCAATAATCGATGCGCACAAGGCTATGACAGCATGATAAGAATGCATTGAACAGCATCAAAGTCATGTTAAAGCCACAGCCCAGGTAAACTATCCATCTCGAGATGTGTGCTGGGCTTACATTACTGGCTAGCTATTTATCTTCTGTCTGCCAAGCGCTCCATTGCGGTGGCAGCGAGACTTTCAATTCGACCAATTCTGATTGAATACTCATTCCTTGTTGCATGACTGGACACGAGCTTATCCCGTAGCAGCATCTGGCGCTCTAATGCCTCCAGTGCTCCGCCTGATGAGAGCTGCTTCGCACGACGATAGAAGTGACTAATACGTGTGGCGATAAGTGCCAAGCGAATGTAAAAGTTGTTCGTATCTAAGTCGGTGTCGAGAACAGTCAAACAATCGAGGGGTTTGCCAGTGTTGAGAGATGAGATTTACCACCAATATAGTTAACATCGGAGGGCACAAGAGGGAACAACGACTGACCAATTCTGAGAAGATCTACCTATCAAGTTGCCTCTTGTGGATGTTGTTGAGCAGTCGATGACCAACGACTTCGTAAATTCTGGCAATACCGAGCATGTGGCATGGTTTCTTACTGACTCCTTGAAGATCAATGTCCTAAAAAATATCTCAACCTCAATCCTGGTGCGTATCCACAAATTGTGTGACAAACCTCAATCATGCCCATAAACATTATCGATATGAGCGTCCTGTCCTTGAAGCTACTTGATGTCGAGGCTAAATCTCTATCAATCGCTCGCAGCGCGGCGCCACAGCAGTTGCGAGCCAAGGAGTAGAGTGTAGATGACTTATGGTGGGGTGACAGACACAGGTAAGCGGTGGCAGGAGTGATGTTTTGAAGACATGAATCATGATGAGAGGATTCGTACATGTCTTGCAGAGTGTCAAGATCCCCCCTCTCCCCCCCGAAGTCACCCAGCCCCGGCTGAACGCAGGATTCTTGCCGATATATATATATATATAGGCGAAAGCCTCATGCTCAGATATAGGGTGCGATTGAAGTAACAGATTCGTGCTGAGCTCAGATGGAGGGAGGCTGCTTGCCTGAAGAGGTTTATTTGCAGTGGGTAGAAACCGCATCTGTTCGCTAGCAGCGATGTTGGCTAATCTAACACCATTCTCTGGTGTACGGAGCCGTTCGACAAGTCGCCGACTATAACGAGGGCGTTTAGATCGATATAGCTCATACTGGGCGCACTTTATCCTCTTGTCATCGCACTGTTAACACAAGCAGACTTGTTAGTGATATGTTTAGAAGACGGGATGGCTACAGTATCCTCATCTTGTGATTGGAACAGCTGCTACAGCTTGTACTAAGAACGACAGGAAATTCATGGTTCGAACCGGTCAACTATGGTAGTCGTGGCTCGGCTTGTACCGAAGAGGTGGAGTCAGTTTTGTCTAGGGCCTTGGCTGTGTCTCAAGCAGTTACAAATCGGACAATAGGCCGCTGTGACTGGCCGGCCTAAAAGCTCATAAGCACAACTTGAGATGCAAACAAAAGGGAAAATGGTCATATCCAGCAGAAGACTTTTGCAAATGAGGGACCAAAACTTACATGAGACACGAAAGAAGCTGATGGGATGATTAAACTTTCCGGCTCGTCCGTGGTATGTCTGAGCGCTGACGACGCCGTTAGTGGAAAGAGGAGTCATCGGGACTTGGAAATAAGCGTAATATCCGATTCGGACCGATGCGGAAAGTCACATTTTGAGAACTTGACCCGAAGGATCCCACGTCGATACGAACTGTAAAAGAGGCCATCGGAGTTGCAGAAATCGCCATACCCGACGGACACGGCCACGGCCTTTAGAGCAAGCCAGGCAGAAGAAACTGTTGCTGACTATGAGACGATCGGCCGTGGAAAATATTTAGCGAAGAACGTTAGCTGTAAGTAGTACAAGTGGGAGAGTGGTAACGGAACCGGGACTTTTGGTAAAATTCCGACCCGTCGCGCGATGACTAACGACGTCAAATTTTTATCTTGAATTTCCGACTCTAATTTTGATCCTCTCGGTTCAGCGCATCTCTTGCCCACCCAACTCAGTGATAAACTAGAATACGATCTTATCAACTGCTCAATCTATCCTGCGATGGTAGACAATTGCTGATTGTCAGAACCATCGTTGAAGCTGGTACTATCAGCTCTAGCCCTCATTCTTGGTAGCAGCTTGGCCCCTATACCGCCCGTGATACCTGGTCCAAAGGCCTTGAAGAAGCAGATTGTCTTCAGATGGTCGTTGGCCCATTCGCATGAACCCAATCGAYCTCAAGAATGTCTCAGAAGAATGTGAAAAGATAATAGCCAGGTTCGATTTCAACGATACATGCGGATATCAGCATAGTGAACAATGTCTGATTGGTATGGAGGAATGGTCCCTGTCTTGTATCAAGGTTGAAGCAGAGARGGCAGAGCAGCGTCGTAAGCGGCTTCTGTTCGTGTCCCATCTGGAGGAATGTACCCGAGACCCAGCAAGAGCCAATGAACTGTATACACTAGGGGGAATTCCCCTTCCTCTGTCATCACACTTTCTTGGCATACGAGTGTCAAGAAAGTGGCCCTGTCTACACCAAAATCCTTAACAAGTGCACAACAAACGTTTCAATCTGCGCTTTGCGCAGTCGCAAGTCGAGGCGATGGCTTCATCTCCGACGATCCCGCCTGGTCGCCCCGGACCCCTTCGATCTAGGGGTCCACACTCCCGCTAATCTRAACCGAAGAGCCCGTGCAGCCCTCTTGCAGAACAGCCCCGCGGTCGTGAACAGCCTAATTGGTGTTTCACCCAGACCTGGGCGGACGGCCCAGACACCGTCCTCGCCACTCAACGCCGCCACCACTGCTGCAGCTACGGAAGGAGCTGAGCGTGCCAATCCCGCATCGACCCCTGAACAGCAACCAATCTCTATTATCGAATCGGCCAATGATCTCGCRCGTAAACACGCGGAAGAGTACAACGCCAAACTAATGGTCCTCCAGGCCCTTTGCGCCAAGCTTGAAGA